ATACCTAAAGGTCTCTCGATCATATTGGGGTACCCCTATTTCAGGAAACTACCACTTGTCTTTGAACCCTTGATCATGGGTCCGCCTACTGCCCTCTTGCCGTCAAGTCAAGTATTTGATGGTAAGTTTCTTATAGTTCTATAACCTCTTACCCCTCTTACCCCAAACCTATGTCAATTTCAAATAGCCTTTCAGTGTCCATTCCCCCCCCCCCCCTCCGCCATACCACGCGCCGATGATTCCCCCTTGATTAAGGTTATGTTGTAGGGATAATTTACAGGTTAATTAGGGGGTAACTATGAGGGGGTAGTAGAGGGGGACGCAGGAATTGAGCCCGATCTACTTCATGAAAGAGGCGAGAATCTATTCCACCTAGCAATAAGCTACCCCCGCTAACAGCTAAAGTGTTCTCAATATATTTATATGATAACTAGATCTTCGTTGTATGGTTGGTTACTTAGGGCCCTTGGGGATGGGTTGAGTGCGAAACTATCCTCAACGTACATAGAACTTCCTAGTTGTTCGTAGGGGATAAAGGAATGCAAGCATTTCTTTTGGGGAGAGTACAGGAACTACTGTGGAGATCGCTCTTGATTCCCTGTAGCTGGGTCATCATCGTGGGAAATCGTCTGAAGGCTGAAGGAATACTCAGAACCCATATGGGGGGGTTCCAAAGAAGGGGGTCCGTTATGCTCGCCAAAAATATTCATAACTATGGTGGAACCTCGACAATCGACCCCTGATGTTCGTAAACCCTAAAACCCTGAACTGCAATCCTGAAACCCTATACCTTCCTAACACATAAGCCCGCAGCCTGAGCCCTAAAGCCCTCAACCCAATCCCTGCTTCAGGCTTGCAGGTATGCCTAAGCATCTCTCTCCCAACGTCAACACTTACCTTCATTGCGCCAGGGGCCTTTTGAGACTTGGCCTTGTATTTGGGAGTCCAGTTTAAGTAGGGCCCTCAGGGCTCTAGGATTCTGAGGGTGTGGGAGCTCCAAATAAAAGTGTTAAGTGGAAGTTCAGGATCTAAAGCTTTAAGGCATAGGATCCTAAGGCAACTACAGGAGGGGAGTTTCCATGAAGGGGCCTTCCATGGCCTTATATACCCGATATGTACCTCCCCATTGTCCCTATATACCCCTTATATGCCCTTTGTGTAAAGTCTTGGAAGCTCCCCTCGTGCAGTTAGTCCTAATAAGACATCCCAATCCCAACCTAGTGCAGAGTCTATTCAGGGTTTTTGGTGTCTGCCTAGGGCTCACGAAAGTGGATCTCGGTGCCTCAGTTCTTCGGGTTGTAATTATGGTTTGCTATCAGAGAAATACAAGGCAAATTCGGGCCGCAGTAGGAAAATGATGCAGTACTGCAGGCGATCTGTTTTGCAACTTATATCAGGAGCTCGGATCAATGTGGGGCACTGGGAGGAATCCCCATGGCATGTGCTGTCCATGGATTTCTCTTCAACCGACTTAACTACCTTAACTTGTACAGCCCAGAAACATGTTCACAGCCCGTAGCTTTGCCGATCTCTCAAAGTTCCTTGTGTCATGATGCCATTTCTTGCACATAACCCTGTATTCTGGACTCCTTCATACATCCGGCAAATGTTCTCTTTTCGGTCTACCTCTGTACTCCCAGCCTGACAATAGCAAGTTTTTGTGACCTTAACCCTAGTAGTCTTTGAACTTATTTTGCTGAATCCTTGCGTGCTTCTTGAAAATCCCAACAGGATCCTGCAGGCACTCAAGCTACATGTATCCCAAGAGTTTCCGAGGAAACGCATGACCTGGGGTGCAGCTCAAGACAACGGCACTGATGCTTGGACCTGCTTAAATCCTGGGCATCCCAGACTTTACCGTCATAAGCCATTCGTGCTAGTAATACTTAATACTTAGAGTCCTGAGTCCTACAGCGGGACGAGATCCAGAGTATTTTGGAACAAAGTGTTCAGAATGTGTGGCATTTGGTTTTTGATGTTGCAGGGACTTTAAGGAGGCGTTCAAAAGTCGGGGAGTCGTTTACAGATCCTCGCCTTGTGAATTCCCAGTTGAGGAACTTGAGCTCAGCATAGCTCAGCTAAAATAATGGGAGAACAGACAGCGAGGTGAAGTGTGGAGACATGAAAAAGCGAGCATGCTGGACAGCTATTGGCATGAGAGTCCGTGGCATTGGATAGACCTTTGTTCGGCCATTTGGCCTCTCAACCTCAAATAGCCAAGCGTAAGAGCTCTAGAAACCCAGGATAAGCCCAGTTTCCATGTGACTTTGCATTTTCCACCCTGTTGAAGCTTACCTTTTGCATGCTGAGCCTCCACCCTAGTGCTTTCCTTGCACCCTGAGCAATGAGCTTGATGACTTGCCAGAAGCAAACCCTGCAGACCTGACCTGGATGACTTCCTGATGCTTAGTGGAAAAGGGGGAGTGGCTATGGGTTATAGGGACCCTCGTATAGGATTAAGCCCCTCCCCCCAATCTACCGTGACCATTGTATGTTAGGCCGAATATTTCTTATTAGGGGACTGGAGGCTTTGTTATTCGGCCGACGTGATCAATGGATTATCTAGATAGAGACTAGTATAGAATGCATCTCCTCCTACTAAGTACCAGGGAGTTGTTTAAGCATGATATCTGGGGGTCTCACAACGGGGGCTCTTCGGGAACCGAGGGATATGTGGGGAATATGTGGGTTAGTGATTCTGCGGATCCTGATTATGGGTTCTTAGAGATCTGGGAAATTCTCATAACTGCCCATGCAGTTCTTGTAGCGGTTAGTCTACTGAACCTCAAGAATCGGCAACAAGACCGCATCCTAGCCCCTGTGAGCCGCGCCAAGGATTTCCTATCCCAACGAAGCCTACAGCGCCCCATGAGACCTTGTTACATCTAACTCTCATTATTCTATTTATTTGTTGTGTTCCTTGCTTTTTCAGGCCGCCCTTAAACCCTAAACCCCGGATCATTCCGGGCTATTTCAGCTCCTATCACCCGTTGTGGTAAATGTTACGGCAAGGCGGGGCAACCCCACTTCAGTGCGAAAGCCTAAGCCCTAATTGAATTCTAAGCCCCAATCCCTCAACCCTGACACCAAATCCCCAACCCCTCAAAACCCTGAACCCTAAACAGTGAAAGGATTTCCTGATTCAGGCTATGCCAACGACCTCTGCCGGTGCTTCTGCCGGAGGGGCAGCCGACGAGGAGGAATTGCCAACCCTAAGCCCTATAAACCCTAAAGCGCGAGTTTAGGGCCCGGGTTTCCCGGAACCTTAAATCCTAAGGTGTAAGGCCTCCTGAAACCGTCAATCCTGAAAGTTTAGGGGTTGTTAGTAGGGTTTCCCTAAACCCTCAATCCCATGGGGTAAGGTTTCCCCCATTCTTAAACTCGAAGGGTTTAGGGCTTCCTTCCCTCGTGCACCTGCCCTCATGGGGTTCAGCATTTGGAGTTAGATAGGGGGTTCTAGAGAGGTTATATAGGGATAATGAGAATAAAATGAAAACTACTATATGTAGGGTTTTGGGTTTGGGGCTTTTTCAGTGGTGTATCCGCCTACGATCAGTCAGCAATTACCCCTCAGAGCCGCAAGAGCCTAGGGCGGAAGGTTGCTGGTTGGCTGGTTGAGGGATTGGGGTGTCAGGTTCAGGGATCTGCCATATTCATAGACCCCCTTAAGTAGATAGAACATGGGGGTTATATTGGGATAATGGAAAACAAAATGGAGACTACTGTTTCAGGGTTTAGGGCTCCCCTTAAGTAGACCGAATCTGGGGTATTTGGGGATCTTTTGCCAATATACCCAAGGCCACATTCTATCTACTTAAAGGGGACTATACACCCCTACAAGAACTTGTTTGCTGCTAAAGTCCCTTTGCCTTGGGCAGGCCCTTTGGCCTCTGGGCTTTTGGTCACTTGGGTATTCAACCCTACAAAGACGCAGTCCTTGTTACAGGCAGCTCAAACACCGACCCTGAATTCTGGCATTTCTCTTGCACCCTGCCCTCAACCCTGAAACCCTTAAACCCTACCTACACCCTCGAAGGTCCCACTGACAGAATGACAGAATGAAAGGAGCAGACCAAGCCTGGCAAAGACGCCGAGGAGCTTCTCAAAGCTTTGAAGCTCCTTGGTTTATGCTTATGGGAATATATGGAGTTATCTAGGGGGTGTTATATGTACTAAAGTCTAAAATCCTTGAAGCAGGGTATACAGAGGATTATGTAGGATAATTCTTTTCTAATTTTCAGAATAAGAAGGTCGAGAAACTGCCACGTTGAGTTGGGCAGGGAAGGGATGGATCCATAAACGAATCCTTAGTTTGCCTTCACCCTAACCCCAAAAGTTTTGTTGGGGGTGTAGGGGGTTGGTTTCGGGCTTGAGGCAGAGTGGGATGTTAATTGAGTCTGAGGCTTACAGCCTAGGGTTGCCCCTCTGGAAATTAAGGGTCAGGTGGGGACACTGTTGTCAAAACCATCCAACCTTGAAAACTAGCCCGTACCACCACAAAACCACTGCAGGGCCTGACAGGCATGCTGCAGGGCTATCATGTTTCCAGGGGTGCGGGCCCTGAAAGGGAGTTTTGTTCAAGTACTATATAGAACCGCGATGGAGCATTACAGAAGGCGTATACAAAGGTGATAGGGTTATGATGTCCCACATATTCCTAGCATTCTTCATGTCGATTGTCAAGAGCATGTCTTGGCCTCAACACGACAATCTACTAGAAAGCCAGAAGACCGTCTCCGGGCCATACTTGCTAAATTGGGTTTAGGGTTTAGGGTTTAGGGGTTTACTTACGGACATCAGAAGTAAAAGGTGGGAAGCTGAGTGTTTGCCAGGCCTCAGAAAAAGGAAGACCACAAACTCCGGACCTCAAATCCCCAGCCCTGAGAGTAAGTCCAAAATGGTAACTTCCCAAAATAGGGGAACCCCAATATAGACCCTAAAATATAATAGTCCTTGTTATTGGGACCCCAAAATGGTACCCCTAATTTTGGGAAACCCTAATCCCTATAATCCCCTACATAATCCCAGTTTACATTTCATTTTCCATTTTCTTTTCCTTTTGATTCTCCATTATAGTAGGTACCCCTAATTTTGGGAAATTACCTAATAGCCCAACATCCATAAGCCCTAAACCCAATATAGTAGTTTCCATTTTCTTTTCCATTATCCCTATATAACCCCAATATTATAGTTTCCATTTTCTTTTCCATTATCCCTATATAACCCCAATATTTTACCCAAAATGGTACAAATAGCCCAACATCCGGAGCTCCGGCCTTGAAAAAAAAAGGCTCATTGGCGCCGACAAGGGTGCCGTGGCAAGTGCTCAGCTACTCGCTCTGCGGATGACGGCGGAGGGCAAGGCCTTCAACGGGGTTTAGGGTTTAGGGTTTAGGGTTCAGAGCGGGGTGTTCTACAAGGTTCCTGAAAATGATTTTTAATTTCTGTTACCTAGAATCCTAATATGTAGCTGAAATTATAATTTCTACTGGGGCTCCAAATCCCTTAGAGTGTTGAAGTAGGATACATGGAGAGGGAGGGAGACTCAGGGAGTGGGTTAATGACGGGTTAACTGGGGCTATGATGGGGCTTGTAGTGGTTGCAGGCATATTCACCAAGTCCCCCTGACCCTCCAAGTAGGAGGGTTCGGGCTTAGGGTTGGAGAGTACAGAGGGAAGTCCAGTTGTAAAAAAGGCTCGAAGGGAATATGGGCACCAGAGCAAAAGTACTTCATGGCTTTAAAGACTCCCAGCCGAATCTCGCATGATTCAGGGGGACTTTGGTTTCGTTTGCTGGAAAGCTTACTCCGGGCTCCACCGTCATAGGCGGTTTAAGTACCCTAGAAAAGCTTAAGAAAAACATTGGTGAATTTACAGGGACTCAGCATTGCATGGGCATTTGTCTTTTATGAAGCCCCTAACCTTAGACCTTGATGCTGCGTACCCCTGTCACGACTTTTTGGTTGCCCGTTCCCCTGCAGAAAGGAGAAACCTGAACTGGTAGACTTCCCCTATTGGCTGCGTCTGCATGTCCACTTCCTATTCTAGTTTTACCGATTTGTTAGGCCTTTGCATTCAAGATCTCTATGGGTAAGATTTTTACTCTAAATCAAGAAACCTTTTGCGTGCAGGTTGGACTCAGCCCGGCCAATGTGATTGCCCTCAACCTGTTCCTGTCAGACAGCGCCTTTCACAGTGCCATGCCCCATTTTTGAAGTCAAGGTTTGAGGATTTGAAGGGGTTTAGTTGGGGTATATGGTCCTCATTTGGGGACCACATGAGCTTGAAAGCCGGAGTCGATCTGATCGAGGTGGGTTCGTTCAATTTTCTTGGGTTCCTTGTCAGAGGGATCTTGGTAACCCCACCCTCCAAAACAGGGGCCTTAGGACCTTGTAGCAATCAATATGATATGCTGTGGGATTGTAGTTTTTGTGGGTTGGCACTGGGAGACCATCTTATGCTGTGAAGAATACGAGTACATGGGGCATCTACAAGAATGGCAGATCTAGGCTCAGATTGACTTAGTACGGAGCACAGGTACCACTAATCCAGTATTTGCAGTATTCACGGAGCCTTGGCACAACACCCAGATTGGAATGCCGCATTAAACATCCAAAACATGAATCCTGTGCTCTGCGCTCTGTGAAGCTGAGGTGAAGTCAGCACTGCCTTCGTGACGCAGTTTTCGCAGCAGCCTCTCCCAGCAGTGCGAGAGCGGGCGGCAGACATCCATGCAGCCCATGTGGTTTGGCCAGAGAGGGGCATGGAATCCAGACTAGCCTTCATGGGTTGAGGTTTCGAGGTGTAGGGCTCCGGATTGAAGAACGCGCGGCAGGAAAGTGGCAGGGCTTATGGTTTTAAATGAAGGCTTGCCATGCGAGGCTACAGGCATCTGTCCCCAACCGCAATTGGGATTTCATGAGGTCATTCCTGCCCAGCTAGTTCTCTGAAAGGCATTGAAAATAGACCGATTGTATGACAAATATATGGTCCCTACACATCCCAGTCTAGATGTTATTCTGGCCCCGGGGGTGTCCTTCCACCTTAAACCTTGAACCTCTCTCCTTGAAACTTGAGCTCCCGAATCCTGAGAATGAGGCTCTGAGGGCTTAGCCCTTGGATGCCAGTCTTCCTGAAGGAAGGCAACTCTTAACATACGAATACTGCACAATGCCGAGGAGCAAGCAAACTAGAAATAGTACCCTCTCATAACGCTCACATACGTATGGCTTAACTTAACATACCTCGGGCATTCGCTTATTAGGTCCCGACATCATTCTCGACTTCGGAGAAACCTTTGCAGTTCTACAGGAATCTTGCAAGAGCAAGTCTCAGAAGGTCAACAAAATTAGCCGGCGCGATGCTACCCTTGCAGTCCTCATTGCCCCTTCTTTGAACCTCAAAATCTGCCAGAACCAACCTTCAGGGCTCAGGGTTAAGGGTCATAGCCCCCCTTAAGTAGATAGAATATATGGTATATGGGGTCTTACTACAATATACCCAAAGCCATATTCTATCTACTTAAGGGGGACTCAGAGCCTTTGCTCCCTGAGGTTCGCCTGTCTGCTGCTATACAGGCACTGCCTGCCCGAAAGGCCCCAGATTTGAACCTACATGGTTGAGGACTACTGTAAGGAGCCTAAACGATTAGAATAAGGCCGGGGTGTGTGCTATACCAAAACTGTACAGGAGTTAAGGGCTATAGGAAACTAGTAACTAGTTATTATGGGTCCTTACGATCCTTACCAATTCAGGCTGCTACATTACCTTGAAGCTCCAGCTCTCTGATTCACTGCCTAACCCATAATTACTCCCTGACTAAACCCTACACGCTAAACCCAAAGAAGTTCTCCAGGGGTGCTTCATTACTTCCGCTTAAGACCTGAACCTTGAAGACCCCATTCCTGATAGTCATAATGGAAACCTGGGTGGATTTCTTTACAAGAGCAGATGAAACGATAAACCGCAGACCCCTAGCTTATCTGGTGGGACTGGATGCATATGGCTGCGGGCTTTAGCAGCCTCTCTGCAGCATGAGTGAAGCATCTACTGGCAGAGTATGTTGTAATCGTCCTCGTTTTCCGACCCTCATTCTTGTGCATATGCATGAGGGAAACTCGAAGCTCGCTCGCCAGCTTCATCTTGAGGAAGCATGTTGAGGTTTCTCACAATGCGCCGCCTTGGAGTGTATTCTCTATATGCCTACGGTATCCCTATCGTGGGAAAATCTCATGTAAAGCAGTCTTGTCCCAGGTCTTAAATTCTACGTCCTGCGGCCTGTACAGCACTACGAAGTGGGGCAGAGCACAAGTTTAAGCAATGGGATTACAACCGTCAAGTACAGCTTGGCTCAAAGTTTCTTACGGTCCAAAACATGTGCGGACCAATGAGCTTTACCACAATAAGACTCCCAAAAGCCCTCCTTAACAGACATGAGAGTCTTTCTTTCGGAAAGTCTTGGGGTCTTTGAGGCATGGAAGACCCATGCGTCATTTTGAGGAACACTCGAACAGAAATAGCATTAGGATTAGGATGGTTTGTTGTTGTTCTGTTTGCAGGTTGTTTGCTTCCGCGCCGTCCGCGTAAACATGCCGGGCGGGTTGCGTGAGTTCTTGCGTGGACATCGTCTAGGTATGGATTGCCACCTGGCAGCATACTTACCTAGGATTTTCTGGGTGGGAATTGGGAATTTGATTGTAAGGATTGTTCTGGCTTCTTCTGTGGGGGCTGCTAATTGTATCCACCACTCCCAAATAGCATGCATAAGTACATAGGCCTAAGAAATCGTAAAAGGGGTTTTCGATCATCATGGCTATTATTCTGTAGGAGCAGTATCTGGCATCTTTCCGGATTCGGTAGTAGCAATTCCCACAATACGGTCTAAGCCCCGAAAGGCCTGGTAAACGACATCGCCAACATGATATCGAACCCAGGGGGTCCGTGTTTTGGCATCATGTAAGCTATAGTCTAAACTCTTTACAGGGGGTATAGTCTAAACTCTTTACAGGGGGTTATATAGGAGATTGTATGGGGGACCATTCTGGTGTTAGTCATGGTGATACTAGGAGTTTACACAATAGCTCATGTTAGGTTGGGGAGGGAGCCACCCCCAATGACACCTTGAAGACCAACAAGCTTGCTTCCCCTTGGCATCATGCACAGGGGCCACTCCAGGGGTTTAAGTTTTCTTGGTGCTTAGTGGGAATTGGGGCTGGTGACCTTCATCCTGCCTTCCTCCTCAGCTTTGGCCGCGAAGGCAGGCCAAACATGTTCAGTATAAAGCTTGGCAGGGATGAGCTCAAGTCATTCCCAGGTAATATCCAAAAGTCCGCTATAGTCTTTGTCACTGTCAGATATAGTACGTGTTTTTCGTCACACCCAATTACAAACGGAAACAAGATTTGCAACACTCCCGGGCCTCTGCACCTCTACTGCAGACTGGGGTGAACCGTAGGCTTGTGTGTGGACATGGTCATAACACATATAGGAAGCAGTGGTTCCTGGAAGCAGGCGTACACTAGGGCTCCAGGAAAAAAAGGACTGTAAAGACATTCCTCGTTAACCTACTCCTCCTAATTCAGCCCCTCACACCCTAACAGCGCAACCCCCCCGAATATAGTATCATTGTATATGTATATTTGTTGAAATTATGCCGGGGTTCGTGGGATTGTTATCAGCCCTCAGAAATAACCCCAACTGTCATTTTCTTTTCCATGCCCCTTACACCCTATAGAAGGCCTTTAAGGGGTTGTTATGGGGCGGTGATTAGGAAGCTCAGGATGCTCTATACCCCTTTGTCTATATACCCTACATAAGCCATTTTAGAGTAGCTTCCATTTTGTTTTCCATTATCCTTATATAACCCCAATAATCCATGGCCACTTAGGTTATCGACCTGGCAGCGTTGTGATGTGGAGGCCTGGATGGAGGGTTTAGGGGGTTTAGGGTTTAGGGTTTAGGGCTGGAATCAATGTCAAGCATTTATGGGGTTTCGGGCGGGTTGCTAGGACTTGGTGCACGGACGGCTTTGAATCATAGAGCTCTACTGGTCGTTTGGCAGCGTCGGCAGGACAAGAGGGATGGACCATTGAGGATGTGGCATTTCTGTACAGAAGTGGAATCCTGACCAACACCAGAAGCGAGGCAGGTTGGATCTTGAGTACTCTTTCTCAGTCTTTGGCTCCCTGAAGTTTCATAGAACCCGGATACCCGGTACAGTTTAATCCTGATCATCAGGAATTCCCCAAATGGACCCCTTGTTGTTGGAGCCTCCAAGTCGACCCGAAGGCCTAAACGCTAGACCATGTTAGTATGCTGCTTACTTGCAGCAGGCATGCGGCCTCCTGCACTCAGGACGGGTTGAGGGCTGGATTTAGGGTTTTGAAGATAAAGGCTTGGGGGAAGTTAGGGCTTAGGGTCGGGAATTGGGGTTTAGGTTTAAAGGCAAAAGGTTTCGGGTTTAAGTTGAGGGTTTTAGGGTTTTGCTGGTTCCAGCGTTCACGCCAGCTTAGCGCACATAAGACCATGTCCAAATTCTGAGGTAGGTCATTCGGGGAACATCAAATCCACTGAAGCATTTCAGAACTACAAGTACGAGACCCTGCAGCTACAACACCTCCGGAAACTATTCTGGGCTTTTGCCTTAAAATGCTGTGCAGACATAATATGACTGAAGTCGTTGAATCTTTGGCCACCAGTCATCCTTCCCGGAGCCCTCATGTTGAGGTGTTTAGACCGCATCCTGATCCCGTAACTACGCACCGCTTCCTTCCTGAACGTTAGTCAGCCTAGTTAGCCCACAGGCACGACCCCAAAGTGGTGAAAAGGCTGTGGAGTACCCAACCAGGGTATGACATCCCACATCGCTCACAGAAAAGCTCAAACGAGCCCTCAAGTAGCGCTGGTGCCTTTGAAGACATGCCTGCACGTGCTTTTCTTTACGGCCAGTGAAATCAGTTGGTGCATAATTCCGGCTTTAACGGCGCCTTCCAAAAGAGTTTTTGCAGAAGGACACTGGGAGATGCACCCCGAAGGATAAAATCCCAAAAGCCTGCGTTTGGACTCTTTGATTTGTCTTTAGCTGAAAGGCTGGCTGTGGACAGAAGCTTCCCTCGCCTTCTCCTCTCCCCCACTTCCCCCTGTGATTGAAGGACTTATAATGACTGAGGTGAGCTAGGGATATGAAGACCGCTCTCACGGTCCCCCTTAAGGGATATATAGGGATTATAGGGTATTTGGGGTAATATTGGGAGAATGGAAAAGAAAATGGAAACCCTAAACCCTAAACCCTGAAACTATTATTTAGGGCTTAGGATTTGGGGTTTAGGGTCCAGTGAGCTTTCAATGCACCCAGCAGTGATGCCAAGGTTTGGCTAATCTTTCAACTTCCATTCCCCTTTAGTAGATAAAATATTAGGTTTTATAGGGTTCATATAGGGATAATGGAAAAGAAAATGGAAACTACTATATCATAATAGGGTATATATCCACAGTTCCATCCCAAAAGCCTAGTCCGAATCCTTGATCCTTACAGTGATCTTTGCATGAGTGCAGCCGGGTTGATATTCTTATTCTACTATTGTAGATGGAGAAAGTCCTGCATGACCTTCAGTGTTGTGCACCACCTGAATTCCCACTGGACCCTAAACCCCAAATTCTAAACCCTAAATAGTAGTTTCCATTTTCTTTTCCATTATCCCAATATTACCCCAAATATACCCTATAATCCTTATATATCCCTTAAGGGAGACTATCTGCGTAATTATGCAGAATAAGCAGAACATTTGTCCAGCA